GTGAATGTACAAAAAATAGGTGCACAAAACGCTGAGAACCTTCCGGACAACCTAATAGCTCTTCGGGCACGCCGTGCCGCCTCAAAGCGTACCATATAACATCACGCGGCACACGATCGAATGCCTTCTCCAGGTCTAAGAAAGCTACATGCACGGGCTTTCGCTTCTCACGGTGTTTCTCCAGCAATAGGCGAGCGGCATGTATGGCGTCGACGGTGCTACAACCCGCCACGAAGCCACACTGATTGGTGGAAAGCTGGACGATATCACGAACGCGGGCGTCAACAATTCGCTCAAAGATTTTCATAGTGTGCGAGAGAAGGCGAATTGGACGGTAGTTCGAGCAATCTGCCGGGCTGCCCTTCTTCTTCCAAATCGGGATCGTCACGCTCTGCTGCCAGTCCTTGGGCACCTTCTTCTCTTCGACGATCTGGTTGAAGAGTTTCGTCAACCAACCCGCAGAAAACCAGCGTTGTGACTTCCACAAATCAGCTGCTATGTCGTCGGGGCCTGTTACTTTGCCTTCATCTTCCTCAGAGCAGCTTCTGTTTCCTGTACGGTGATCTTCTGAACGGGACCATATGTTGGTGCGGTACAGGGTATAGCGGGATGGGCGAATTCCACCGTTGAGATGCCCTCGAAGTATTCACGCCATCGTTGCAATACCCTTTTTCGGTCCATCAGAAGGTGGCTCATCCTCATTCTCATTACCTATGCCTAAGAACTTCTCAGTGTCTTTTCCCGAACCTTCGCTCTGACGTCAACCGTCCAGAGCCATGCCTCTTTGTCAATCCTCCGCCGTCCAGGCTTCGTTGTGCCGAGTTCGGAGCGGGCGGCCTGGATTATAGAATTAACGGCTTCGTTCCAGGTCTCCTGAACAGTTGTGACTTCAGGTAGTCGAATACGAGAAATCACAGCTGCCTCCCGCTCTTTCAGTCGCCACCACTTTATTCTTTCAGGACCGCATCGTTCTGCCTGCCTCGGTCTGGGAGCTACAAGTCTGAGCGTGCAGATCAGTGGGCGGTGCTGCGTGGCAACCGTTTCATACGGTACTACCTTAGCGTCTGTCACGAGTCCTTGGTCGCCATGCCTGATGAGTACAAAGTCTATTTGTGCTTTGGTACTCCATATTACACTAGAATAACGTGTAGATAGGAGATCACCATTTAAACAGAAACCTAGGAGTGTTCAGAAATGACGAGATTATGCGATCTCTGCAAACTCCAAGGCTCGACTCACCAATCGACTTCCAGTGAACCGTAAGTCACAAATCCCACTGTCAAGACACCAGCGCTCTTAATGTACGCGCCCATGTGTCCGAGTTTAAACAGAGCACATTTCCGCTAAACACTACACTCCACTATCGACCCTTTTCCCAATAGAGTCTATCGTCAGACGATTCCAGAAGAAAATGCGAGCCCACCCGCACTCCTCACGTAACCCGCTGGAACATGCAAGAATTCCGCCCTTAAGCTAAACCAATTAGCCGGCCCATGGGCGGCCCCTTAGCGCCCATGCGACTCCCCCACGGCCTCTAGCTACTAGCCTGCGACCACCCAACATGCCTATCTCTCTTCATTCGGAATGCCTATGAGAGTAGTGATACGATAAAAGAGCTGATATCTTTATGATAACGACGAGTGGAAAATTCGTACAAACATGCGTTTTCTTCATGCATGCATGTACAAGTTGGAGTCGATATGAATCCTATTGAGGTTATTTTTGTGTTTTTCTGTGCTTTTATATCTCCTGCTAATCAATATAGCCCTTTTTCGTTCTCTATATGTTCCGTTACCAACCAATCTGTGCGTCGCGGCTTTTGCCTGTAAAATCGCCGGCTACAATGATACCGTCTTTAAGTGGCACTTCAGCCATCTTCTCATCCAGCAGAGCCCAGAACTCGTCTTTGGACTGCTCAGAGCATGCAGTTTGTGAGGCATATGCAGAGAGGAAGTGGTGCAGTCGTTGTTTAATAGCGACAACAATCTTCATTAAACGGTCGTCGAAACGAACTACGCTCATAATCGAATCGCGAAATCGCTGAGACACGATCACGGCCACACCACTTGTAGTTTTCGGCCCGCCACAAAGAACGGCTTTGAAGCCGCGGCCTAACTCTTTCGACTTGCAACCAGCCCATGTCCAGTCTCGTCTCATGCACGGCACAGAAGTCGATCTTTTCACGCTCTAGGGCTTCTCTTAACTCATATGAGCGTAGCGTCCAGTCAGCGTCCCCACATTCAGCGTGGCAATACGAGCCTGTAACACACACATTGCAGGTCTTTCGGACTAGCCTGGTTGCCCCCGATGCCGTCCTTGCAACGAGGACCCTCGCATATTTTTCACACTCGTCGGGCCTTGCGAGTGCGCGTCGGCTCCCGCGGACGCCGTAGCATTATCTCGAAATTCATAAGGCATAGTTAAACATGATGATGTGACATGGGGTGTAAGCCGGCCCGTCACGAAGGCCTGTCGCCTGCTTTCGTGTTCGTCCGCGTTCTGCTCAGCCCGCAAAAGCGAGCAGGTCCCGGTGGCACCACTTGGAGGAACGGACGTCAGCACCGAGACTGAGCTCGCTTATAGTGCCAAAAGCTATCCATCCCTTCCGTGACTGCGCAGATCATAAGCATCCGAATACCTCAAAGTCGCTTATGGACTTCAAACCACTTTAAACATTCTAAAGTTTAAAAACCGGCCTGTGCTCGACTGCTTCACCTTCGAATAAGTACACTACCAGCGTTTACAGAGCTCTATAAATGTAGTGCGGAGTAGGGAGCGTTTAAACTTCGCGACGGAAGCGCTTCGGTCGTGCGCTCGAGCGATCGATCGCAAGCGTACAGCTGTGTAGCGCGACTGATTAGATTGCGCGCCAGTGCTGAACGCCAGTACTAGACCGATGCGAATTCACGTGTGTAGCGCTGACACTTCTTTCCAGTCGAGGTAACGTGCGGCGTTTTCGAAACTGACACCGGAAAGACCGAAAGGCGATGTCACGGTGCTGAGTTGCGCTCTTCGCATGGCAGTCTCCTTTTAAAGATTTTGACAATACTCTTGTTACTGAATACTGCTTTGATACCTATTTTCCACATTATTCACGTGTAAATGTTAAGATTTATTCGTGCAATAAACAATTAGTTTAATATTTTTCACGAGGCTCTCATCAGAGCAATGCATTAAACAACATTAAAAACAATATAAAGAATTTGATGATACAGGAGAAGTGACATACACGATAACCTGCTACCCATACGTTGTTTAAGGAATGCGCGACCCAGTCAAAGAACGTAATCTTTCGAGCAGATGGGGACAGGGCGTTGCGGTTTACGTGGGCACAATCTGCTACATCTACACTATGTAATAGTGGGAACAGCTTGCTTTGTACTTCGCTCTAGCGGACTGCTGAGGTCAGAATTATCCCAGGCCAGTAGGCAGCTGGTCTTGTATTACCTGGATGCTTCGTCACCTCATGATGCTCCAGCTGCGGTGCATCGTGGACCACTGATCGCTGCTGCTGGTAGGTTTCTAGTGGGTGGCAGATCTGAACGGGAGTGCTCACAAGCAGGAACCCTACGATCACCATTCATCCAGAAGTCGTATCGAGCAGTCATCAGCAACTGTACAAGGCCTTCTCCCAACCTCCCCGTACACTGGCCTGACATCCATATTTAAAGGCACATTCCAGAGGATGGGTACATTAAGTATGGTGTTTAGAAACGGAATGCTAGCGACTGGTAGCCGTAACGAAAGAGACACGTGGTTCGTCCTGCTATTTCAAGTCATCGCGGAAATTTGCGAAGGCTGTGACGGGGAAACACTGAGTGCACGAACTAGAGGCCAAAGAACGATTCGGTCAAAATGCATATGATGCACAGACGAGCGCACCCAACACACTAATCGGGCGGAATAGAACGTCTAGGGAACGGAAAGCCGTCGGAGTCGAACCACAATCCCCTGGCCTCCTTTCCATACATTTTGGCGTGAAAAGAAGAGGTAGTACACTTTGTGCAGTTGTTGACGTCATAAAAATCACTAGATCGTACACTATATGGCAATTCCGCTGTAGTCACATATCTGACAAACTTTCGTAGTTCGGACAAAATCTTCTTTCTGTTCAGTCCATAGCGTATTGAGCCATAAGCACGACGCCAGCGCATGTGAGGGAACCTATGTCGGCAGCGGGACGGGGGAAGCATAAATAGCCAAGCGCTCAAAGGCAGAAGGCACGAGCACGATGGTTGGGGGCGGGCGGTCGCAGTCAACGTTACTGGTGGAAGGGTAGGAGGGTGGAAGGGTGTAGCCAAACGCCCTTCCACCAGTGACATTGGCAGCAACCGCTCGACTCCAACCATCGTGACCACTGCGTTAAAGATGAGGCGCCTGCTGCAAGTTTACTGAGCACAAAAAACAGCACAAGCGGCGCGATCGCTACGCAAATTTCTGCAAATTAAAATACATGTATGCGATATACAGTTGATATTCACAGATTGAGAGGGTTAGATTAATATGAGTGTGGACCAGGAGTTCTATTCACTTCGCGAATAGAAATCCTCGTCGTGGTATTCGATGAATTTACAAGTGGGGTGAGTCTAGTACAGATGGGCATCTTGGGCCTTTTCTGTGAATGAGCAAAGTACTAAAGAAACTCGATCTACAACAAGACAACAATAGGCGTTGATAAAGAGCACTTGGGAGAAGACCAGCATGTAAGAATCACCTTGATCATTATTAGAGTAAAGCTAACCGGAGCAATACTTGAACAGTTAGGGTTCAATATAGCCGACAATTTGAATCCTCCGCAACAATGAAGGAGAAGCAGCGGAAGCTTCTGTGGAACAGGAAAGGCTTCTCGGAAACGGAGACCATGCGAACATGCGAATTCGTCCAGACCTCTAGTGCCGTCAGTGTGGCACGAATGCTTGTGTTGTGTTGAATTCAGGTGGAAGCGTGTGGGTGTGAACTCCCTCGTGGCCGTGTTCCCTGGAATAATTTGCCCATCACGAACAATTGCCTACCAGAAGCTTCAACGTACCCGAAAGCAGTCTGCAGAGCAGCGATGACGGCAAATCCAATAAAGATGGCCAGTAACTGCTTCAAACTATTGTGTTCGTTATCCTTTTCATGGGCTAGCACCTAAAATGTGCACTAGTGGCTACTTAGTAGGTTTTGTTTTCAAGAGGAACATGGTCGGGCACCTCTAAGAAAGTGACGTAGATGAATGTCCCAGCTGCCAGTGACTCCAGAATCAGAACTGCTCCATCCTTATGCAGTCGACTTATGTTTGACATCTGAAAAAAGGTTTAGACGGTATAATTTTCGGAATCAACTTGGAATTTGAACTGATTTCAATCTTCAAGGTTCCTGCAAGTGGCTATAACGAATCCACTCCCTACTCACAAGCAGGGTACAGCATGGGGATGTGCGAAATGGCGGTGTGAGTACGACCCCCCCCCCTCGAAGAGGGTCCAGATACGACCCCCCCCCTGCTCTAACTGACAACCAGATGCATGTTCACCACAAATGGCTTCCTGAAATGGAATCTTCGAAAGGCGCACTCTGCTCTGCCTTCTGAAATCAGGCAATAAAGGACTGTTTCGCCTCACGCAATTGAGGGCTAGAACAACAGGCTTGCATTACCTCAATTTTTCTCCTTAGCGATTCAAAATAATAATCCACTTCGCATAGACCAAGTAGGACATGCAACTTGTAAGAAAGGAAACAATCGAAATAAGCGATATGAGTGTCTTGATAAGTTAACATGGTTGAAAAAAACAGCCAAGGTCAGCGTGTCAGGCCCCAGATGTGCATTCAATGAATGGTGACGGGGAAATCATGAAAACATGCACGACACAACAAAGCGAAACATGAAAAATACAAAAAAATGCGGAGCCAAATGAAAAAGGAACAGGCGGCAGTAAATCGTTCTATACTTGGCTGTTATCGATCGCAAGGCTGCGACCGCTTTCGTTGGAAAAACGTCACTGGAGCGCGGTTGTTGGACCTGCACGTCCTGGGGTCTTTTCAGGGGGTTATATCTTTGAAGGACTCGCCTTTTGAACAATGGTTAGCAGCATGCAACGGGAATGCGCCTACTGTGGCGTTTTCTACCCAGCTGCAATGCTGATATGGTTCTCCCGTTCGTGAAGATTATTCGGATAAGGGATCGGCTAGGGGTAAATGGCAAGCGGGTTTTTATGCTTCACACGATGGTTACTTATCTCGAAGGCAATTTTATCAGGATTGAAATCGTCTCGAAACCGCCACTGTCTTTCTCTTCCAATAAGCTTTACAATTTTCCTGAAGACCCGCTAGTTCAGGAGATATTTTAGATGGGTCACAGATGCGCTACCCTCTGACCCACCCGAAAAATCGACTCCTCCTGAGCCATTGTGATACACCTTTACGGTAATCTCGATCTATTTCTCTCCAAAAGACATATTTCCCTTCAAATGAGTGAAAGAGGAGCTCGGACTATCACTGATCGATTTGGTCCGAGTGTGCGCCGTGCATTACGTTCCTACGCAGAGGTGGTGGAAAGGTGTAAACTCTGATTTCAGGTGCTTTTATCCATGCAAGCAGAAAGTTTGTTTATGGTTTGGAAAGGATAATACGCACGGAATCTGTTGAGAGGCTATATTTAGTAATCACGAACTTGACGGTTATGACTACTAGTTGAAGTATATTTGAGATTATTTGTTTTATTTATTTGATTTTTGTATATTGCAAATCAATTTTTCATTATTTTATGGTCCTCTTTACATTCGGGTCTTCTGCAGCTTTCGGTCCGTTCGATCACACTTAGCAATGACACTCTGTATTATTTCATGCTTAGTAAGCCTTCTTCTCCAATACTCTCCACGTCCCCGCGAGTACGTTCCCCTTTCTTAGTCGAATTTTCCGATGAAAGAGTGCTGTAAACGGAGCAGTTAAATCTGTAAAGAATACACTCATAATTTTCATTTTTTTTAACATCTTGACTTCCATAGCTCCACTCCCACTTATCAACTGAAATGTCGAAGCATTGCCGGGCTCTGAGTGACCCTTGAGATTACGAACCCCCCCCCGTTCCCCCGTTTTCCAAAATACATTCCGCTTTTACTTGAAAAGTAGGATGGTTTCCAACGAACGCTGGTCTGCTGCCTCTTAGTACCTGCCACGCTCGCCATTCGAAATTGTGCGTCAAGGGTGCCGGAAGTTCGCGATAGCCGAAAGCGCGGCTCATTCCAATAACCGAAGCTAGTAGCGCGGAGCACCTCTGTACATTGCGGCTTTGCTCTCGTCCAGTGCTGAAATCGATATGACTGAAATGGAGCTTATTTCTAACGTTTTGAAGGTTTCTTCTGCTCTTTTTCTCCCTGGCAACTCATTCAGCATCCACGAATTCATGTTTTGAATTTCACTATATATGTAGGACTTGTAATATCGGCATGTGTATTGAAAGAAGTCGAGATTGGGCGCCAGAGCATGACAGTGTCTCCTTGCACTTGTAGGGGCGTAGTCGGGGAGACAGAGCGTGCACTTTGAAAGCCTTCTCAGCCTTTTCGTTGAAACGCGTATGCGACAAAAAGTGATAGAAAACGAGTAACACGAAGGATATAATACAGTAATGTCACTTCCTGGTTCAACGATTGGTGCAGTACGGGTGCGGGCGACCGCGCCGCACGCAGCCGCACTGACATTGACTATCAAGTGCAAGGATGACGACTGTAGAGCATGCGGCGCTGCGTTGACTTCCTAGCTTAGACTCGATGCGCCTGATCTGATGTCTCTTACACGTATCTTTTTTGTTCACTAATATATAGATATAAGGGGGGCAAAAAAAGTCACTTCGACCGAGTCACATATCAGCAAAGTTTTCGCTGCCCAGACAGAGGACGTGGATACGAGTACCAGGGTGGAAGATACCCAAGATGTTCTCGAAAGAGCTGGCTTTTTCCCATCAACTTCATGTACACCAAAACATGAAGTCATCTCCAGTAGCAGGCTGACTGGAGAAGACCTTTGAAATTCACGTCACCTCCAAACAGCTGCGAAACTTCTAGTATGGAATCACCATGGATAGCTACCCTTTAGGGACTCAGTAACGACCTAGGAAGACCAATCCAATCATCGAACAGCCCCGACAAAGTCCCTACGGTCTTGACCTCATCTTACCAGTGCAGGGCACTGCTCGTGATGGTTATGCGCGGAAAGTCCTAGTATGGAAAGACCATATATTTTCTTTTGGACTCCGGACTGAGAGTGGCGCTGGCGGTACATCGAGCAATCGGAGAAGAGATTTCCTCCTCACATGTCGTCGCCCGTACCTTCTTGGAAACTTTGTACTGCTACAGCATTGGGTGCCACCACATGGAATCGGAGGGCGTTGGGAAAAACTCTCGCCTACTTGGAATGGAAGGGCGTTGAGTACCTAAAGGAGATGGAATATCCAAGTAGGTCACCTGACCTAAACTCCCTCAATTACCCGGTTCGGGCGGAGTTCAATAGGGTGGTCTACGGTGGCGGAGAAATCGACTATCTCGCTGAATCAGGCACACCATCGCGTCACGTGTGAGAATCTCTCGATGGCGACATCGTCCAGAGGCGTGTGCGGGGGAGTGTTTTGTGTATTTAATATGCTCTTAATATCTATGGTAGTATTATCCGATTAGATTTAATAAAGTTAACTATATATTAGGCGCTAAAAAGTCAGAAAGAAAAAAGTATTTTTTTTATTGGGACCCCCCCCCATGTATGTCCCGGGAGTCCTTTGCTTTAGTCCTTTACCTAGCCATTTTATCAGCGTGGGAAATTGGTGGTCAGAATCTTATAGCACGGAGGACAGTGGAAGCATTTTAGCAGTTTCCATGCTCCTCATTGACGTGTTGACCCATTTAGTAAGCTATTTCACGAGCTTACTAGAGTTCACACGTTCAACCACCGTGGCCCGACGAGCTCTTCCCAGCTTCACAAGCAGTTCACTAGCGTTCACCGTATGTGAGACCTGCCCAACCGAGCACCAGTGAGCAGCGAAAAAGCAAGAAATTCCCTCCCCCATTGCCGAACATGCCACATAAGCACTTTTGCTATTGCTTTGCTATCATCCTCCAAATTACCACGTAGGCTCGAAACGCCTTCACACTACTGTGTGAATTCGCCCAAACCTCGGTACTTTGCAGGATTACGCAACAACTAGAACCTTCAATGGCGGCCTTGCCGCAAAAGGCAAGAGTACAGCACAAGAATAGAGAAACTGCGGTCGCCAAGACATACACTCCTTATCCCTGAGACGGAGTAGGCGTGGCAATTTAACGTGGCATAGAATGGGTTATTCGTGGGATGTCAGTTTGAGACATTTGTCATCTTAGTTCGACAACACGACCTTAAATGGCTCAAAATGAAAATATCTCTCTAGAAGCACAGCCATCGCAACGTTTAGTTGAAGTACGCAGCCATTTCTACCTCATCTCAGGGATTTCGAGTGTAGAAAGGTGTAAAAAAGACATGTTGCGCGCCAGGAGATGGACCTTTTCAGAGGTGGATGGGGACTCCGAGATGGGTGAGCCACTTGTCATGCGTGAAAATTTGGAATATAAATATAAGTTCACAGTGGTCCCAAAGTCATGCAGTCGAAAAAGGGCGCAGAGAAAAGCAGAAAATTCGACGCGATCAAAGGATTGAGATAAAATTAGATCGTGGACCCGTTGGCAGATGTGTGGGACGATAGGATCGCAAGAGATCACGTGCAAGCTGCAATCCGTATCTTTCCATTCGAGTAAAAGTTCGCTGTGCTGCCATTAGGGCACCAGACTGTGTTGACAGGGCACATCATTGGTTGTAGATTTTAGTCGAGTCGTACCAACCCTCTGTCCTTGTGAGCATTGGGTCGACCCCACACCCTTATACAACGTCGAGGAAGCGAGAAAGATACACTATCAATAAATAAATTTATTCCCAGCCACAAATACGAACCTCCCCTATTGAGGATTCCAAACAAGAGATTGTGCCCTTGTGTGGTTTGAACTAGATACCGCTCCACTCACTTTTCAGTTATATAGTCACTTCTTCCAGAGGAATTGAACAGTCATCGCTGGAAGATTACAATTTAATTTGCCCTTTCAGAGGGGAGCGAGAATGAGAACTTTTGGAGAATCGAAGTTGTGGAGTGTCCTGTTCCAACAAAAGAAAACCTTCGCTAACATTGTGCACGCTTGATATGTAGCAAGCGCATAAGGTGTACGCAGTTTCCCGCGAGCGGCGCTTGGCGATCCAGAAGTTCATTTTCGTTTTGCCAATTTCATGTTGTGTT